GGACCCATGACCTGCGACTGAGGCTGAGCTTTCTGACACTGGGCAGGATGTTTTGCTCCAGGATGCCTTGGTAGTCTTGAGACTTAATTATGTTCTGCACAGATTCAAGGTTCCCCGTGCCAGATGCAGCAAAGCAGCCCCAAAACAAAACCTAGCACCCCCCCCCCCATGTTTCACAGTAGGTATGGTGTTCTTTTCTTTTAAAGCTTCATTTTTCCTTCTGTAAAAACAGAGCTGATGTGACTAGTCAAAGAGCTCTAGTTTTGTCTCATCACTCCAAAGGACATTCTCCCAGAAACTTTGGGGCTTATCAACATGCATTTTGGTGAATTACACTCTGGCTTTTTATGTTTTTCTGTCAGTAGTGGAGCCCTCCTGGGTCTTCTTCCATGGAGCCCATTATTGTTCAAAATGTGACTGATGGTGCGATCAGAAGGTGACGTACCTTGACCTTGGAGTTCAGCTTGTCTACTTGGCTTTTTTTCTACCATCCACACAATCCTTCTGTTCAACCTGGGCTTACATTTCCTCTTGTGTCCACGTCCTGGGAGGCTGGCTACAGTCCCATGAACCTATACTTTTAAATAATATTGGCTACTGTGGTCACAGGAACATGAAGCTGCTTGGAGATGGTCTTATAGCCTTTACCATGGTAATCTATAATCTTCTTTCTGAGCTCCTCAGACAGCTCTCTCCTTTGCTTTCTCCGGTCCATGTTCAATGTGGTGCACACAATGATACCAAACAACACAGAAATACCTTTAAATAGGCTGAATGACTGATGAAAAGCTTGAAGGGACCTGTGATACTAATTAAGGTTACACATTTAGTTTGAAATATGATTATAATGCAAGGCTAAATAGTCTCTTTATGGGTACCAACAAATCTGTCCATACTATTTTAGCATATCTTTGTAAAATAAACAACAAATCATTTCTTTTCACAATTTTATTGGTTTACTCTATCAAATACTAAAGGTATGCAGATATACATTTGAGAATTGCTTTTAACTGAATCACGTCAAGAGAAATGAAACATTGTTTCAATAAGCTGTAAGGGTACCAACAAATTTGTCCATGTCTGTAATTATTTCAAATCTTGTCTATTGTTTTTCATTATTCTTAGCTAAAGCACTTTGCATGGCCCTTGTATACATATATAAAATTTAAATAAACTTTCCTTTATGCAGTCTGATTGCTTTTCATCCATGGATACTTTCATTATACTTTATTATTGCCACAATTAAGCTATTTGCCCCCCCTCCATCCCTCAGGTACCTCTGTAGATATTACCAAAACTACACCACATGATGCAAAATACATATTTGTTAAATATTTAGGAGGGAATGTTTCTGGTGCTGTTAGGAAATCATACAGGCTATAGTTAAGGTAATAAGGCAGATATGATATCGGTTTATTAAGGAGACAAATCAAAAGCATTTTTATTACACAAAAACTAGAGACACTTTTAGGTGAGAATTAAGTGGAAACAGGGTAAAAGAGGGCAAGTCACAGATGGGGGTTTTTAAAGTTGAATGCAGTGCTGGAAGCACACAATTCTGAACACTTTCCTCTGTCCCAACAAAACTAGGAATATAATTCAACTAGACAAGTAATTAAGGTTTAGATTAGCCGGCCCAGGTGTGCTAATGAACGGCCGTGACGTTCAGGACAAAGGCTGAAAATGTGTGACATTAGCCCAGAATTAATCACACCCTGTGAGGGCCAGGCAATTTGGAGCAGCTGCTGATGACCTGGGAGGAAGATGGGGGGGGGGTCAGGAGGAAGGGGACTGACACTGTCAGGAAGGCTGCAATTCCCCTGCTCCCTGTGCTTCCGTATCTCCGTATTGTTTGTTATTTACAAATATTGGGCTGTGAGGTAACCAATTTTACAAGTTCATAATGAATAACTAATGCAAGACTAGAACACAATTCATACTCTTTAATTTTCCTCTCATGATTTTCTATTACCTATTGCTACTGTTTGTATATGTGGAATTTACATTGTTTACACTGTGACAGGTACACCTGACTGTGTGTGTGTGTGTGTGTGTGTGTGTCTGGACCATGTATATTTTATATTGTGGGGACCAAATGTTCCCACAATGTGATAAAAATCTGTTATTTTAACATTGTGAGGACCATTTTCTTTGTTCCCCACAAGGGGAAACTCATTTTTAAAAAGAAATTGTGACTACAATCAAAAAACTAAAAATGCCAAAAGTCTTGTATTTTATTTGGTTACTGGTTAAGGCTGGTTATGGGTTAAGGTCATCATGTTTGTTACACATTAAGGTTGTTATAAAAGGGATTAGCGCTATGCCCATAGAAATGAATGGATGGTTCCCACAAAAATTATATATACAAACCTGTGTGTGCGTGCCCTGGAGTCAGAGCGAGTCAGTGATCAGTCCCTTCAGCTGAAGACTCAGCTGACTCATCCTCACACCCAGTAAATCGGTGCTGGTGGTTCCAGCAGTGGTCGATTCCCAGCCTGTTAGGAATGCTCAGCTGCACAGCAGGGAGCATGAGGCACAAACCAGACCAGCCAGTTTGGAGAGATGGTGTCGGTCCTCTGAGCTGTGGAACAGTACCGGCGGGACACCACCTCTCTTTGTAGGCTATTGTCAAACTCCTGCTTCCTCGCCAGTCTTTTCTGGAGGGAACCTCCACACCGCTTGCTGGTCTGAACGGTCTCCAGATGCATTAATTCCCTGTATAATGTCTGTATCACACAGCCATGTCAGGTTCCTCGCAGAGCCCTCAAGGCTAGCCGGTTGTTGTCACAGACCTGAAGGTTTCATCCACAGGGCTTTGCGTGATCCATCAAACAAGCTTCTGCTGTGAAGCATCGAAGATCTCTTGACAGAACATCGTGAATCAGGTGAGCAGTGGAGGATTGTGGGAGGACAGGCACTCATATGCCTTCATAGGTCTTCACTCTCTTTCATAGCTCTGGCCAGTGAGGACCTGATCTTCAGGGAATCAGTCCATGGTCCATCCCCTGGGTTTTATCTTCATCAGGCATGACTTTTGCCCAAGCTTGCTCTTGTTAGTGAATGCAAGCTTATAGCTTGTTGAGTGGGTCTGTGTGTGGCTAGTGGTTTAGGATTTGGATCTGTGATCGGAAGGTCATCAGTTTTAATCCAGGGCTCGGCGGAGAAATTACATCTCTGTTGGGCCCTTGATCAAGGTCTTTAACCCCTGAAAAATGCTCCAGGGGAGCTGGATGGAAGGCTGACCCTGTGCTTAGACCCCAAGCTTGACTTTATGTGCGTATGTCTTAAGATGGAGAGCATGATGGGATATGTGGAAAAAAGAAATGCCTTCAATTGCACTTGTACAGATAGCAAATAAAGCTTCCTTTCATTTTTATTTCTAGGTTGCTAGCCTACGGCCACTGACAAGATTTTCCATCTTTTATGAAATGCGCTTTTAAAAAATCACACTCCAGCTCCACAATGGCACCCTGCCTCTTTACAGGCCTAAGTCTGAGGTGTCATTTAAATCTTGAAAAATGGGCCCCTTAGGGAAATTACTGCAGGTCCTTCTTGTAAATAGTAACTAGCTTGCATTTGTCAACTAACTGAATGAGTAGTGTAAGTGCTTCAGCCTTAGGTGACTGAGCGGTTAGAATTGCAATAACGATAGCAATAAAACCTAAGCTAATGGTAGCTAAAATAACAGTTACTGAGCTAACAATAGCTAAGTTAATAGCAGCTAAGATAACAATGCTAAGCTAACCGTAGCTACTGTAATAGTTTGCTAAGCTAAAGGTAGCTAAGCTACGAAGCTGCACCTCTCACTTCGAATCCAGTCATTGACGTTTACTTACATTGCCCGTGTGCCATAACTCACGACTGTCTTGATTAATGCTTCAAGATGAATGGATTCATTTTCCGAGCTCTATTCGGCAATCTGAGCAGAAGAGGCCTGACCTTGCCAGCGCCAAACATTCCCAGTGTGTCCTCTGGGAAGTGCTATGTGAGCCGCTTTGGACCGCATCCAGCGGAAGAGGAGTTAATTCATTTTCCCAGCAATCTGATGGATGATAGCCGACTCTGAAGGCTGTCTCTCGATTGCTGCTCAAGGTTTCCTTAGTCTCGAGGACCCTATTTTTCTCGGAATCGTAGCCGTTTCTTTTTTCTGAGTCCCGGATGGCAATTAGCGAAGACAAAAGAGTGAGGGCGTGCTCCGGCATTTCTTCTCCACGCTTTTTGGGATGGACATCTGGCACGTGATTCTCCAGCAGAGGCTGTGGCCAGGCAGAGGGCTTCCCAAACTCATTTCGGCATGAAGTGGTATCACCGACGTGCAGCCATCAAACTCCGCGAGATAGGCAGCCATAACCGCTGCTGGCTCATGGCTCTGGGACAACAGTGACTCATGGAGTGTGAAAAATGGCCTGCGGGGGCATCAGCAGCAGAGATGCAGGAACGGCAAGCATGGCCGCGGTTTTGGTGAGCGTGGAGATATTGCCAGGGTCCCCCCAGAGAAACACGGCAACCCACTCGCTTCCCAGTTTTCTCGTAATGGGTGTTGTGTTGGACACGATAACGAGAGACAGTTCGGGGAAACATGATGCAAGCAGAGACTCAAGCCCAAGAAACTCAGTAGCTTCTCTGCAGATGGGCCTCAATTCATTCCACGCCACATGAAAAGCAGGACTTTGATGGCGGACTCGCTTCACTTAAGGCTCAGCCCAGCACACTTCTGGAACCGTTCAGGCAGATGAAAGAGAGAGAGACTAGATTTCACTTAAGCTGTGGAGGAGTTGTGCATGTCTTATTATCAGGACAATTTGGATCTCATTCCGTTGATTTGGCAGCACTGCTTATGACCGGCGACCATTAAATTGCTCCGACTGTTGAGCCTAATCTATTAGGCCGGTCAGAGTGACAACAACCGACAAACAAGTCAAAAAAGGGTAGGTTGCTCTCATTTTGACTTTCATTGTTTTATTTTTATTAAATGAGCAGTTCAGGTGAAAAAAGGAGAATAGCTAACAATCCAGCTAACAAACAAGGTGGAATATTCAGTGTTAATCTAATCCTTTTCTCCTGTCTCTCTCTGTCTTCAGTTTCCAGTAGCGTTTCGGATCGAGTTTAAGATCCCACAGTGAGCGTGACTGGTCCCCAGTGGCGGAGGAAGCCTCTCCTGCTTCCCTAATTTGTAGGAAGGCCTCTTTGAAAGTGCCACCCAGAGCTGTCTGTGAAGTACGGCTGGAGTAGACCCCACCTGCCCGCTGTGCTGTCAGAATAGTGACCCCTCCTGGCTAATAGCCCTATCTGCTCTCCACTGCTGCCCTCTTCACTTATCTATTTTGACATCTGTCCCCCAAAATCGGCCCCTCTCAATTGGGGGCAAATTCACCGAGGTCACGTAAACACTGTCAATTATAAAAAGAGCTGTACATCTTTCTGTTCTGTCTGCATGTGCCTGATGCCGCATGATTTTTACAGACATCCCACCTGGACGTGGGAGAATGGTGAGATTTGCCCGCCTGGGGTGGGGGTTGCGATTTTCCAAGCTTCCTCTGCTGAATGGCAGAATGACGTTAGGTTGTTTTAATTCTCTGTGGATGGATTTCCAGGACATTGCACATAATTCGTGGGTGTCAGGGAGCTGCTGTCAATTTGTGGGAGACTCCCGGGACTTCTGGGAGAAGAGGGATGTCTGTTTTTGTGGCCAGACACACATGCAGTCTGGGGTTCGATATATGTGTGTACATGCATGTCATTCTCTGTCTACAATTAAAGCCACAGTGCACACACACACACACACACAGACACACACACACACATATATATATTATACATATATAAATATACACACACATATATTATACATACACACACACACCCAGAGTAGCTTTAATTGTAGCCAGAGCTAGAGTAACATGACACAACAAGCTTAAAACGAGCTGGAAAGGAGTCACCTGCAGGAAATAGAGGTATAAATCAAATCATTGCAAACAGCAATTTGTGGCTGAATATCTTTAATCCCAGACTGTGTGATTCGGGTGAGTGCATAACAACACTCACATTATTCACTGGGGGGATATTCGAAACGCCAGTGTACAAGGCTCGAGATTAGCAAAAAAGCAGATGTCAGGAAAGAAAAGGTTTAAAGAAGGAAGGGAAGCGGTGTAACAAACACAGCGGCTGACGTCTCCTGCTGATTTAAAGGTGCCTGATTGCCTGTGGTAACAAAATCTATTTTGAGATATAGAGGCTTTTGACCTGCCACTAAATCGCTTATGCGCAAATGGCCACCGGGTGTAATTTCTCTACGAAATGGCCGCTAGTTCCAGGGCAGGGTTTTAGCGGAGAGGTGCTAATTATTTGAGCAGAAAGAGGTCCAAACGAGACTGCCTTATAAACACGTTTGTTTTCAGAAAGTAGCAGGGTGTGCTGGCACAGTGTCACTGTACTCTGTGACATGTCCAGCAGCACTCGTTTTCTGGCACTAAAGATGTGTTTCTTTTTCTCCTGAGTTCAAATTCTTTTTTAGCCTCTTCTCAGTATATGCGGTTCATCTATCAGCTGATGGCTGGCCGTCGCCCGGATTCGGTGCTGGGACTGTGAAAGCAGCACCAATGAAGTGCTCCGGCCGCAGTTAATGGCCGGCACCAGAGTAACGGGAGGTACACTCAGCCAGCGATCGATGGCGGGCCCCACTGTTACAGTTTCTCTGTTGTCAAAGCTTCGGAAAGTTTATTTCTGTCTCATTTTTTCTCAGCGAAACAATCTGTCATAACGCACCGTTTGGACTGTGATTAAAAACATGGAGGGACCCCAAAGAGGCTCTGGAATCTTCCGCACAGAGGGGATTTTCACACATGGTTTGAAACTTCAGCCAATTATTAGAGTCGGAGGAGCGGGTGATCTCTCGAGGGACCTGCTGCCTCATCGCATCAGTGTGTCTGAGCTAAAGCGCTCCTGCGATGTGGGGTGGGGGGGCCGTAGCCACATGTCTCTGTAGCTACATCCCCCACCTCAGTGCAGGAGGTGGTCTAGTGGTCAGAAATGGGACTACATTACAGATGGCTGCTACTTTGAGTGCAGTGAAGGGACCTGCTGTGGCACTCTTGAGAAAAGTAGGCCAGAGAGTAACATTACTCTCTTTAAGAAAATATGAATGGGAGGAAATGTTTGTGTACTTTTGGATTAATGAGCTCTTCTTTAGTCACTTTGGCTAAATTAAGGCAGATTGGTGGGTAACACTCATGCTACTCTGCACTGTATGTATGCGTGGGAGTTCACATGTTCTTATTGGGTTATGTCAGTAACCTGCCATCCAAACATGGCATCTCTGTATATGTGTGTGTGCCCTACCACGGACTGGAATCCGGGCCAGTACCTGCCCCAGCCTTGTGCCCCATTGAGAGCTTGGTTTCTGCTGTACGGTTTTCTTTTTCTGACCATCTAAGCTGAAGCTCTGACCCTTGACATCACCAAGCTTGGTCCCATCTAGGAGCGTGTGGTTGCAGCTGCCTCCATCATCAGCGAGGTGCGTGTAAAGCTCATCATGTGGTGTTTGGATGATGAACGCGGGTCTTCGCCTGTAAAGTTGTTTTTTTCTTGTGTTGATGCTCAGATGTTGACCCCCCCCATGCTCATGAGATGCAAACTGCACACAGATAATGCAGAATCCCTGAGGTATGCATGCTATTTATGGACATTGACTGGGGGGGATGGGGGTGGATGCTTTTAAAAGCCTCTGCATTGAAGGTCATTCATATTCCTGCTACTGATACCAACCATCACAAAGTATAATGGATCCAAGAGGTTAAAAATAGTTTATGTGGGAGAGAGAGAAAACCATGAAAAATGAATTGCTTTAACTTTCATAACTTTGGGCTGCGTTTAAAGTCAGCAAATGGCCCATTTACACTGTAGCTTCCAGACTGAGTCAACAGACATAATGTGTGTAATATGCTCAGTACGATTATGTGTAATAGGCTTCCACCTGCTTCGGTGGGCTCAGAATAATCTGACATTGTTAAGAATATTGTTCTCCTGGTTTTATTCAGTATATGATAAGATCCATCCATCCATCCATCCATCCATTTTCATAACAAAGTTCACGGTGAATCAATTGTCTATTCCAGGGTCTTCAACCGTTATTAGGCCAAGGACCCTTTGGTGGACAGAGAAACAGGGATGCCTTCTTTACGCATTATAAAACTGTTACGGATTAGGCCTGGAATATATTAACATGAACATTACCTATATTAACCTGCTTATTTATGAATAAATATAAATGAACCTATTTCCATATATCTGCAACTTTGGCTGCACTTTATGTGCATTTCACAGGTTTACACATATCTATTCTGTACATAAATATTCAATATATCTAGATTTATTCATATGTCATGTATCTATACAATCGAATCAGTACTCATAACTATATATTCTCCCTTGTATGTGCTAATGGCTGTAAATTCAATTCCATATACAAACACACACACACACACACACACACACACACACAGGTTTGTAATTATATGTTTGTGGGGACTCTCCATTAATTTCTATGGGGAAAACCCTAGTCCCAACATGACGACCCCTACCCAGCCCTAACCTTAACCACAAGTAACCAAAATAAATATGAGTGTTGCCGTTATTACTTTTCTGATTGCATTCACAGATCTTTGTGGGAACCTGGAAAATGGTCCCCACAATGTATAAAAAAAAACAGGTTTTTATGACATTTGTGGGGGACAAGGTTGTCATGTGGGGTTACAGTCGTCATGTTGGGATTAGAATTTTCCCCGTAGAAATTAATGAACAGAGTCCCCACAAAGATATAATTCCTTTCCTTGTTTTAATACAGGTGCTTAAAGTACAAGACACAAAGCAGACGGAATGAAGCAGAATAGACATAGTGTCTAATTGCGGTGGAGGTTATACATGCACATGGACATACAAATAAATAAACAAAATGAATAAATTACAATATTACCGCATGTATTGGATAAAACCTTAACCCTTATTAACAATGACTATGTGGTTTGACTTACTGGTTTATGTACAATTTATTTTTAGACATATTTTATAAGATTTTGCAAAAAATTGTTTGTCATCACACAATGATTCACGGACCCCCTGCAGTTCCTCTGCGGAGCCTCTGGGGTCAAGGACACCCTGTTGATGACCCCTGACCTATACATGACACCACCCCCAAACACTTGCAAATACAGCTTCTTGTTCCTATGTAGCTGGTGCCCTACCTTATGACCAACTTCCTGTTTCTTGTTGTTGTTGACTTCCTGTCAAACTCTGTTATCGCTGGTATACATGGGGAAACTTACACAGATTAACATGATAAATTCATTCAGATATTGTATTTTTTTTCTTTTTTTTCTCTTGGTACAGCACAAGGCTGATAATTATATGTAGAGAGACTGTAGGCTCGACTTTCCTGGATTGGGGCAGGAGGAAGCATTATCAATAATTGGAAGTTATCATCTTAAACTCGCTTTTATAATCCCCCCGCCGTTTAATTACCTGCAGCGGTACTGGATGTCCCGAAGAACCCCCATCAAGAAGGTTATGTCGCTCACTTAAAGCCATGTCGCCCGTCTCTCCCCCAAGACGAGCAGAGGCGTCACGTAACCGGAGCCAAGCCAGGGACCACAGTATGTGTGAAATATTAGCATTTCAGTAGATCACCTTCAGGCGACCTTCCACATGATTAACAGTCAGTCCTAAAGCACGTGAACGTGCACATCAGCCTAAGAGATGAGTGTGATGAAACCAACATGGCTGAATGGGGGAGGCTGTAACCTGTGTTATCTGTGGTTAATCTGGTTTCTCTGCTCTTACATCAGAGTATCTGTCCTGCCATCTTCAGATATATGATACATGGGTCACAGAGAGAGATGAAATATCCATCTAGTGGTGATAGTGCAAACAAACAGCAAAAACTACAATATAAATATGTAAGACATTTAAACACGACATATTGAGACATGAACAATAAAACATAGAAAACTACAAAAAAAAAACAAAAAAAAAAAACAAGTGTGAAGGGGCCCTAGCATGCTCATTTTAATTGTTCATAGTTTTATTTTTGGGGTCTACTAGAATAGCTTTACATGCTTCAATGATCCAAAAAGACATTATTTTTCTCATACTGCACATCTCTTCTCACTCTCTCTATTGCTCTGTTTGAAATGCTCTGTTAGAGCCTCACACTTGTTGAGCCCAGTGTACTCTGATTGGTCATCTTGCTCTACACATTTCGCCTGTCTTGCAGTCTCCAGACAGATCCTTGCAAATAGGCAGCCAATAAGGGACATGCTATGAGGTGACCTCACCATGTCACAGAAGTAAGGGCTGGAATTCCAACCATGCATTTCAGGCAGTACTTTAGGCCTTAATACTTTGCAGACTGTTTGCATGCACATAAAGCTGCATAACACAGCTGTGCAAATAGACAATAAAATTATGTGCTGCTGGGCATTCCCACAAAGACATTTTCTATGACTGGACACATGAAGAAAATCAGCCATGGATTGCTGAGAGGGCAGCGCCTGCGTGTGAGCTGAAGGTGCGGCATGGATGTCCCTGGTGGGGTGAAGTCACCTGGCAGGTGATACCTGCAGGCAATTTACTGATGATACGTTTTAAGATCAATCCATCTCACCCCCGACGGCCTGACCTGCTCATGCTCCACCAAGTCCCTTTCATGTTCCTGCATTACTCCTCTCTGCTAAAGGGTAGCTGATCATGTTTTGCTCTTGTTTGACCTCCTTCCTCGTCTCAAACCCAGAGCAAGCTCCCGTTCTGTCCTCCTACCCCTGTGTCCTGTGGATCTGTTCACCATCAGAAAGTCTCAAACCATGCTGCTCTGGGACAGCATCCCCTTCTTGGAATGACTTCAGGATTCCTAATAGCATGGAAAATATGAAAGCTCTGCCAATACGGGCGGGGGGGGGGTGATGGTGGACTGGGGAGACTCGTGCCTTTTTACTCTGAGACAAAAGATTCTGGCTCAGCATGACCAACCAGATTCAATTTCCTTTTTGTCCCATATATCCATGCGGGTCACAGCTCTTGTCTGTCTCACGCCGACAGGAAGACTCCGTAGCTTCCTGGACCATCGCCCTGTCACCTTTTTTGTCTGAGATGCGCCCAAGAGATCCAGTTCTGGTTGGAGGACTCACGATAAAGCTGGGACACTTTGGTGAAGATGTATGTGTGAAAGGTGAGGCGGTTTCAGCGCCGCTCTTCCTGTCTGCCTCCAGGCATTCCCGCCAGTTTATTTTATTTATAAACCACTCAATTAATGGAGCATTTGACCGATGCACTCAAGGCGGGACTGTGACAGGCATTACTGAAGGAGGCCTGATATGTTATGCACGGGAGGTAGCTCAGACTCCATGTCATTGAATAAGAAGCCATGGAAGAAAGTACACAGAAATACAGCATCTCCCTCTAAAGGGAATTAGTGATCTGTCTTTCATATTAAGGAGGACACTTTAAGGAATCTGTCCAAAGCAGTTCCACATAGCGGCACACCATACTGGAGTTTCGACTCCCCTATTTTCTAGTTCCATTTTTTTTTACTGTCAAATGTATTGAAAAGAAAGAGAGTGTAGTGAGTTGTACAGTGATTTATAACTGTCGTCTTTCCCTGTCCTGGAAGCATGCAGCCACATCTCAGATGAAAAGGGTATTGCAATCTGACGGGAAGCTTCACATGGTAATGCGGGTCAAACATTCTCCAGAACTCTTTGTTGGGTTTGAGCGACTCACATTCCTATCAAACAGTGTGTCCTCCGAAGAAAGTTAATAAAATGTCAGAAGCGGGACGACATGATCCTGCATATATCGGGAGGGAAAGGCGTTATCAATCTGAAGAAATAGGTTGCTCAGCATGGGAGTCAATGGTGGAGATTCAGGCTTTGGCAGAGAGCCCATGATGTGATATTACGATTTGTGTGACGGTTCATTTTAAGGATATAGGCAGCGGTGAATTATCTGCCCCATATCACGCAGGCAAAATGAAAATGGAACACTAATACTAATGCTTCATTCTTCAGTAAATGCCCACAAGCTTAAAGAATAAGAAGTTTGAACTTTCAGCTGCTAGATTCTCCTCAAAGGAATGTTCAAAGAAGACCTGCATCCACCCTCCATGATCGCATATCCAGCACAGGGTCGAGGTGAGTCTGGGGCTTATCGCACGATCACAGCGCATGAGGCAGGGGACCCGTCGTTTTTGGACAGCGGGAGGAAGCCGAAGAACTGGTAGGAAACCCACATATCAAAGGAGGAACATTCCAAATCCACACATAGAGCCAGAGGACAGACTCAGGCCTGGAATAATGACAGCGTGAGGCTACATATCTCACCACCAAGCTGTGTACTTCTCCTTAAATCTGGATGCCTTAACTGTTTTCCGCAGGGGTCTAACAAAAAGTCTGCATCAGGAAACTATTTCAGACAACCCATAAATGACCCTCATCCTTTAAGCCCCCCTCATAACCTTCTCAATAAACATACCATTTTAAAATGCTTCCATTACCTCAAAAAGCAGAACCGTCATCTTAAATCTAGTATTTACCCGTTTAGCAAAAATACAGCAATGGAGCTTTAGTTCGCTTTCAATATAAATAACATAAAACAAGAGAGTCCATCCATTGCTAGACTTGACAAAACTGCAAATGGGGAAATGTCAAAACTGCATAATTCGGTGCCTTCTGGCCTAAGTAAAGCATGTCTTGCTCAGTATTTATAATATATGCATAAATAATACATAAAGTTAATCATTAACAAATCCTAATTATTGATAATTTATTTATAAAGTGCTGCTTGTGAATTTACCAGAAAAATTGGTCGGCAGATCATTTTTTCTGGAAGAGGGAAAAGTCATAGAAGCTAAACATGCAGTCGCTACCTCACTCCCGGAACAGTGCTGGACCTGAATGTGACATCGCATCAATAGCTAGGGCCCAGACATCAGTGTGAAGTTCACATCACTGCGGGTGCTATTGGGGA